CAGGGTGGCTCAGAATGGGAGCCGTTGTAAATTGTTTTTTCAATGCGTCAAAAGCTACCTTTGCAGCTGGAGTCCATTGGAAACAAACTCCTACCTTGGTGAGCTGGGTAATGGGCGCTACCAGGCCTGAGAAGTTCTTTATGAACTTTTCTATAAAAATTGGCGAATCCAATAAATCTCTGAACTCCCTTCTTATCCGTGGGGGCAGGCCATTCCAGGATAGCTGAGATTTTTTGTGGGTCCATAGCGATCCCCGTAGTGGAGATTATTAAACCAAGAAATGAAATGCTTTCCTGTTCAAAGCAGCATTTCTCGGCTTTCGCATAAAGGCCATGCTGACGGAGACGTTCCAGCACACTCTTAACATGTCCCCGATGTGCTTCCAGGGAAGAGGAAAATATTAGGATATCGTCCAAATAGACAATGACAAAGATATCCAGAAAGTCCCTGAAAATGTCATTGACAAAGTGCTGGAAGGTGGCCGGTGCATTACATAGCCCAAAAGGCATGACAAGACATTCAAAATGTCCGAACCGAGTGCGAAACGCTGTTTTCCACTCGTCTCCCTCACGTATCCGAACCAAGTTATAGGCACCCCTGAGGTCCAACTTGGAGAAGATGGATGCCGTCCTTAATCTCTGAAATAATTCTGGGACCAAAGGAAGGGGGGTAGCGGTTTTTGACAGTAATCTTATTGAGGTCTCTGTAATCAACACACGGTCTTAGGGATCCGTCCTTCTTTTCAACAAAGAAAATCCCTGCCCCGGCGGGGATGTGGAAGGGCGGATAAATCCCTTCCGGAGGCTCTCATCAATATATTCTCTTAAAGCCCCTAGTTCCCGCTCAGATAAGGGAAAAATGCGGCCAAAAGGAATCGGAGCCCGGGAGCAGATCGATGGGGCAATCATAGGCCCGATGTGGGGGAAGAACCTCTGCCCCCCGTGGACTAAACACGTCTAGGAATTTGTGGTAAGCTGCAGGTACCATCTGAGTTAACTTGGCCTCGGAGCTTACAGTTAATAAAGGCGGGGTATCTAGTGATGCCCTAGGTAGACAATGTTCCTGACAGTATCGTGAGTGGAACTGGATTGACCCGGTCTTCCAGTCAATTTGGGGGTCGTGAGCTCGTAGCCAAGGGAGCCCCAGAATAACTGGAAATAGGGGGGACGCGATGGCGTCCAAGCGGAGAAACTCCTGGTGATAACCCGCCACTGTGGTATGTATAGGAGGGGTTTCCCGGTCTACCGTCCCCGATTTTATCCGAGACCCATCCGCCAGAAAAATATTCACCCTGTGTTCTTTGGCGAGCAACGGTATTTGGTGCTGGGTAGCAAAACCGAGATCGACAAAGCAACTACAGGCCCCAGAATCAATGATAGCCATCACCTGTGTGCTTCCTCCGGGAAGCTGAAAGGACACAGGTACAGCCAAGTGAGTGGGGTTGCCTTCACATACAGCAGATATATTAAAAGGAATAGAAGAGAACTTACAGTCTTTCTTCGGACAGGAACGCACCATATGACCCCGCTGCTCCGCAGTAAAGACACAGGTTATTGGCTCGACGCCTCTGTCGTTCCTCAGTAGAAAGAGTAGGCCGCATCAGGCCGAGTTGCATAGGCTCGGCCCCCTCGGACGGTTCGGAGCTCCGACTGCCGACACTGACCCTTGGCATGACTGGTACTCTGGGCATCATCCATGAAGTTCTCTGCCCCTGGCTGGACTTCTCCTGTCTCCTTTCCCGCAGTCGGCGATCGATCTGTATGGCCCGATCGATTAAACCTTCCAAGGAGTCTGGAATTTCTGTTCTCGCTGGGTGGTGGGCCTCCATCAGGCGATGAGCCCATCCCTGGGGCTCCCCCTGCAGCAAGGATATGACAAATCCTACCTTCACCGATTCAGAAGAGAAGGTCCGGGGTTGCAGGTCAAAGTACAGCTGGCAGGAATTTTGGAAGGCCCTGAACTTCCCTCGGTCCCCACTGAACCGCTCAGGGGTCGGCACTCTTGGCTCTGGCGGGGGGATGGTAAATTCTGCTCCAACTGCAGACCCCGCTGCACCCATGGTCGGAGGCGCACCCACTGGGCCTGGAGTTGTGGGTGTTGGTGCGGCCAGGCTCTGGACCTGTCCCTCCAGGTGCTTGTATCTCTCTTCCAGGGTCTTCACTGCCTGTGTGAGTGCCGCCAGATTTTGGCACATCTCTTCCCAGGGTGAAGGTCCTCCTCCAGACTCTGACATGGCCGTATGGTTCTGTCAGGGACCCCACTGCGGTAGCCTCTAGCACTCCACAGACTGGATTCCCCCAAGGCGTGGAATCTAAGCTCCGACCTGCTTGTTCACCAGGGCCCCTGATGGTGGGGATGGACTTGGAGCAGGCCGGACCAGGTCGCGGCCCCTGGGTTCACCCAGCTGTGGTAGAAGCACCGTTGGAGGTGTATAGCAGGTGAGAGTCTGATGTGAGGAGGTAACAGGAGCAGCGTCAGGCAAGCCGGGTCGGTAACAGTGGTGGCGGTGTAGTACAAAATCAGCAGGCAGAGGGATAAACAGGTCACAAGCCGGGTTCGTTAGCAGGAGGTCAGAACGTACAGGGTTAAGCAGGAGAATGGTCAGACAAAGCCAGGGATCAGAGCAGGAGACGGACAGCAAATCAGGGTCAGGCAGGTTCGGCAACAAACAATCTACTCACAGGAACTCAGGAACACAGATAAGACCATACGGCACTTGAGCATTGCAAGAGCCGGGTTTAAATAGTCCACCCGACTCCTGACAGGCACTCCTGGGTCCTAGTGCTTGCCTAGCCCGTCATTTGTGACAGGCACGCCTGGGTCCTAGTGCCTGCCTGCCTGTACGTTTTGTCAGGATTCTACGCATGTGCAGATTCGATCGCAGCGGCGATCTTCCCATTCCCTGACAGATGCCCTGGTCCAGATCTGGGAGGAAATACCCCAGGACACCTGTCATCTCATTAGGAGCATGCCACAACGTTGTCAGGCATGCACACAAGCACATGTGGGCCTTAAAAACAACTGAGTACCACTCTGAGTTGCTGCAATGAAATTTCAGTAAAATTGACTAGCCTGCTGCATCATTATTTCACTTTGATTTCGGCATGTCTTTGAATTCAGTCCTCTGTAGGTTGAGCATTTTCCCTTCAATCAAATGACAGGACATTCTTACATTCCTAACACATTACCCAGTCCATATCAGTATAGATATCCAGCATGATATTTTTCCCCGTTGAGATCTGATGTGTTTTCAAAGTGTTCCTTTCATTTTCTTGAGCAGTGTAGTATGTGCACTCTATCCCTTTACCCTAAAGATAGCTATCTACTATCTGAACACATGACAATAACATTTTCAGATGATTATCTCTGTCAGGAATGGACTGGCCAGCAATGGTGGGACTCACCTGCCTTATGGGCTGCAGTACCAGGGCTGGCCAGCGGGTGCTCCCAGCAATCAGAGACTCAACCTTGCAGCCAGCCAAACACCTGAAACTGCTTATGCTGGTGTATTTAAGGGATGGCCAGACCTGCAGACTCTGCCTTGGTGTGTGTTTTTCCTGGGCCCTGTATCCTGTTCCTGCAACCCTGTTCCTGTTCCTGTCTGATTCGTTGCTGACCCTGCTCTGATCCCTGGCTTTGTCTGACCATTCTCCTGCTCTGATCCCTGGCTTTGTCTGACCATTCTCCTGCTCTGATCCCTGGCTTTGTCTGACCATTCTCCTGCTCTGATCCCTGGCTTTGTCTGACCATTCTCCTGCTCTGATCCCTGGCTTTGTCTGACCATTCTCCTGCTCTGATCCCTGGCTTTGTCTGACCATTCTCCTGCTTTACCCCATACGTTCTGACCTCCTGTTTATGATCCGGCCTGCCTGACGACGCTTGCATTGTATTGTTTTGTTATCTGTGGGTGGTTTGGTTTGGTTCGTTTGCACTGTGTTATGTTTTAGTATTGCACTGCGTTTATGTTTGTATTGTTAGTCCTTAATAAATTATATTGTTTATAACTTATCTGAAGCCTGCGTTTCCCTGCGTCAGTCACATACCTCTGGTCATACCCTGGAGCCCTGACATTACACCAAGGCCAATCCTGACCAGACGTGGCTGCACAGGGAAGCCATCTTGGTTTGTTGATGGGAAGGATGGATCTTGATGAGCTTGTGTATTTATATCTGCTAGTGTTTGATGACAGGAATATGCTTATCAAACTCTGAAGGAGTATCCCCGGGATGAACTGCTAGAATGTATACGGCTCGCTCATGTTCTAGTAGATCAGGGCACAGAGTTCTCTGAGGTGCAGCCATTGATTCAGGTTTGTGCGGAGTTGTTTCATCTGGTACCCCCGAATGCAGGGATGAATTTTTGCCGCCATTTAGTGCCGACCAGGTAGAGTCCCTGGTATGGTTATTAGAGGATGATGTGGATTACTTTCTGGAGCGTTGTTCTGCATGTTCACCACAGATACTAAGAGATTGTATAAACGCAGTGCAGTCTTTGGTCAGACAGGCTTTGTGTAAGCTCAGCTTTTGTTCAACCCATACTGCAGACATGGACAGATTTGTTGCACCCAGCCTCAATCAGCTTGCAAAAACCCAGTCCTGCTTCTAATCTATTTCCTCAAAACTCTATTCCTGCATTCCCAACAGCTCCTCCTGCCCTGCTATCTACCGCATGTCAGTCCCCTGTTCCCACTCGCTGCACCTATCCTGCCTTTAACCCTGTAAAGAAGTCCTCTGTAGCAACTGTTCCCTCCCCTGTTCCATCCTCCAGCTCTTCTCTGTCTCCAGCTGCTCCATTCATTTGCAGACCTGCGTTTACTTGCAGTGCCCAGTAGTTAAAACCAGAAAAAAGCGAAAATTCTTTCCAACCAGTACCATCCTGCCAGTATCCAAACCGGTCAGCCTGCCGTCGGACAACCGGCCTTCCGTGGGTTCAGCCTGGTGCCTCGGCACCCGCACTTCAGCCTGAGGTCTGTACCCAGCCTGATGCCTGTACCCAGCCTGATGCCTCTATTCAGCCTGATGCCTCTATTCAGCCTGATGCCTCTACTCAGCCTGATGCCTGTACCCAGCCTGATGCCTCTACTCAGCCTGATGCCTCCACTCAGCCTGATGCCTCTACTCAGCCTGATGCCTCTACTCAGCCTGATGCCTCTACTCAGCCTGATGCCTCTACCCAGCATGATGTTTCTACCCAGCCTGATGAACTGATCCAGCCTGATGATCCTATTAGGCCAGTTGACCCGATGCCCGCTGTCGAGCCAGACGATCCAATGTCTGGTGACCCGGTGCCCACTGCCTTGCCAGATGACGTGGTGCCCGCTGGCAAGCCAAATGACCTGATGCCTGGTGACCCAGTGCCCGCTGTCATACCTGGTGACCCGATGCCCGCTGTCGAGCCAGACAATCCGGTACCTGATGACCCGGTGCCCGCTGTCGTGCCAATTTACTCAGAGCCCACTGTCGTGCCTGGTGACTTGGTGCCCACTGTCTTGCCAGATGACGCGGTGCCCGCTGTTGAGCCAAATGACCTGATGCCTGGTGACCCGATGCCCGCTGTCCAGCCAGACGATCCAATGTCTGACCCAGTGCCCGCGGTCATGCCAGTTGACTCGGAGCCCACTGCCTTGCCAGATGACGCGGTGCCCGCTGTCGAGCCAAATGACCTGATGCCTGGTGACCCGATGCCCCTGTCCAGCCAGACGATCCATTGTCTGACCCAGTGCCAGCGGTCATGCCAGTTGACTCGGAGCCCACTGTTGTTGCCTGGTGACTCGGTGCCTGTCGCTCCGCCTGGGGGTCCGGCGCCCGCCCGCTCCGCCTGGGGGCCCGAGACCTGCTCCGCTTCGCCTGGGGGTCCGGCGCCCCCCGCTCCGCCTGGGGGCCCGAGACCTGTCGCTCCGTCTGGGGGTCCGGTGCCCGCCGCTCCACCTGGGGGTCTGAGACCTGTCGCTCCGCCTGGGGGTCCGGCGCCCGCCGCTCCGCCCTGGGGGCCCGAGACCTGTCGCTCTGCCTGGGGGTCCGGCGCCCACCGCTCTGCCTGGGGGCCCGAGACCTGTCGCTCCGCCTGGGGGTCCGGGCGCCCGCCGCTCCACCTGGGGGGCCCGATGCCTGTCGCCCCCGCCTGGGGTCCCGACACCCGCCGCTCCGCCTGGGGGCCCGATGCCTGTCGCCCCGCCTGGGGGCCCGATGCCTGTCACCCCCGCCTGGGGGCCCGATGCCTGTCGCCCCTCCTGGGGGCCCGTGCCTGCCGCTCCGCCTGGGGGCCCGATGCCTGTCGCCCCCGCCTGGGGGCCCGATGTCCTGTCGCCCCTCCTGGGGGCCCGGCGCCCGCCACTCCCGCCTGGGGGCCCGATGCCTGTCGCCCCGTCTGGAGGCCCGATGCCTGTTGCCCCACCTGGGGGCCCAATGCCTGTCGCCCCCGCCTGGGGGCCCGATGCCTGTCGCCCCGCCTGGGGGCCCGGTGCCTGCTGCTCCGCCTGGGGGCCTGGTGCCTGCTGCTCCGCCTGGGGGCCCGGTGCCTGTTGCTCCGCCTGGTGGCCCGCTGCCTGCTGCTTTGCCTGGTGATCCGATGTGCCTCTGCTCGAAGTCCAGCCTGATGTACCTCTGCCCACAGTCCAGCCCGATGTGCCTCTGCCCGGAGTCCAGCCCGATGTGCCTCTGCCCGGAGTCCAGCCCGATGTGCCTCTGCCCGGAGTCCAGCCCGATGTGCCTCTGCCCGGAGTCCAGCCCGATGCGCCTCTGCCCGGAGTCCTGCCCAATGTGCCTCTGCCCGGAGTCCTGCCCGATGTGCCTCTGCCCGGAGTCCTGCCCGATGTGCCTCTGCCCAGAGTCCTGGCTGGTGTGCCTCTGCCCAGAGTCCTGCCCGGTGTGCCTCTGCCCGGAGTCCAGCCCGATGTGCCGCTGCCTGTAGTCCAGCCCAGTGTTGCCGCTGCCCGGAGTCCAGCCCGGTGTGCCTCTGCCCGGTGTGCCTCTGCCCGGTGTGCCGCTGCCCGTGTGTGCCTCTGCCCGGAGTCCTGCCCGGTGTGCCGCTGCCCGATGTGTCTCTGCCCGGAGTCCTGCCCGGTGTGCCGCTGCCCGGAGTCCTGCCCGGTGTGCCAGTCTTTGATATCTCGCCAGTTACCAGACCCGGGCGGTGGAACATTTTGCCCAGCTAGGACTGTTTGGAGCATCCCTGAGGCCGCTCCTCCTTGGGGGGGTACTGTCAGGAATGGACTGGCCAGCAATGGTGGGACTCACCTGCCTTATGGGCTGCAGTACCAGGGCTGGCCAGCGGGTGCTCCCAGCAATCAGAGACTCAACCTTGCAGCCAGTCAAACACCTGAAACTGCTTATGCTGGTGTATTTAAGGGATGGCCAGACCTGCAGACTCTGCTTTGGTGTGTGTTTTTCCTGGGCCCTGTATCCTGTTCCTGCAACCCTGTTCCCTGTTCCTGTCTGATTCGTTGCTGACCCTGCTCTGATCCCTGGCTTTGTCTGACCATTCTCCTGCTCTGATCCCTGGCTTTGTCTGACCATTCTCCTGCTCTGATCCCTGGCTTTGTCTGACCATTCTCCTGCTCTGATCCCTGGCTTTGTCTGACCATTCTCCTGCTCTGATCCCTGGCTTTGTCTGACCATTCTCCTGCTTTACCCCATACGTTCTGACCTCCTGTTTATGATCCGGCCTGCCTGACGACGCTTGCATTGTATGTTTTTGTTATCTGTGGGTGGTTTGGTTTGGTTCGTTTGCACTGTGTTATGTTTTAGTATTGCACTGCGTTTATGTTTGTATTGTTAGTCCTTAATAAATTATATTGTTTATAACTTATCTGAAGCCTGCGTTTCCCTGCGTCAGTCACATACCTCTGGTCATACCCTGGAGCCCTGACAATCTCATTTGTTTACATTGATATAGCATGGTATATGTACATCTATGCAGTTTGCACCCCAAGCAGATTTGGTTATACATCTTGAAACTGCACGGAAGTTTTTTTTTTGAGGAATTCAAATAAATGTCAATGCTATGCTTCTGTATTTATATGACTATTAACTTGAGGCCTTCATGTATAAAAACTTCCGAACATGATCTGTTTTTAACATTGTCTCCATCTGCTATGTTTTCTGATATGCACATGGAGTTCAAATGAGGGTAAATAGTGCAGCATAATGAGAATTACAAAAACTCACTCATAACGGGCACATATTTTGGAGAATAGAATGGTTTTTTCTTGCTCATTTGCATTTTAATTTGCTGGCTCTTTAGGTTTCGTAAATACATGAGATTTATGCAAATAATATATGGAAAAGTACTACCAACATGTTTCCTTAATAGTGATTACATTAAATGGCTGAACAATACGATAAATAAAAGCTCCTTTATAAAACTAGGTATGTAACGGTGTGAAAAAAAAAAGTTATGTGTTTAATCGGTAAGCAAGTTTTACCCTCCATCTAAATTCATCTTTTTTTTCTCAATTACTGAGCTGGTTTGACTCCAACCTGACCAATAGAGCAACATGCTAAAGTCAAATTAAAGTCACTTGTTCAGAAATTCCCTCAAATGAGAGTCCTTTCTGTTCTGTCCACTCTCATTGCTGGTTTTACCTTCCATGTAAGCAGTCTACTAGGTAAATATGTTGATGTTGGTATAGCTAGGAGGGCAATAAAAACATCAACACACAAAGCTTTAATGGCTCTACAAAATATGGTATCTATAAAACATGTAAAATACGAGGACTACAAGTCAGCTCTGAATGAGTTTAAATTTGATCTAAACCCAGTAACAAACTGTTATGTATTGCAGTTTACCAATCCTTAGCTACAAAAGGTGCATTCATTTTTTCAGTTATTTATTCCTTTATTTTCACCTGGGGATCCAACCAGTAACATATTTCCTATCCTAGGAGACTCACTTCTGAAGTTGAACTCAGAATGACTCACCTCACTATCATTTTCATGGTTGTTGTCTTCCACAAAGCAGAAATGGACACGGTGAATAACATTGCTTGAGATTTCAGTGCATCAGTGGCAGAATGCACAGGAATTTTAGAGCAGACTGGATTTTTTGGTAGATTGTCATGATGCATAATGGTTGAAACACTTGTGGTGGCATGTGCAGGAATGGAGCAATTCCAATTGCTACCAATGTCCACTACTTCTGTATTCATTTTTTCTTTATCTTGTATATTTATTTTATGCGTTACAAAATGAGAAATAACCAAGAAAACACTTTAAAAAGTCTGAACCCACTTCAAAACACCATAATTTAAACTTCTCAATTGATTACAATGCCATTTCACTTATGGGTGAAGTTTTAGAAAAAAAAAATCAGCAAATTAGGCCCACTATATGAGATGCACTACCACATAAGATATATGAGTAAATGTCACGTACCTACTGTGGAGCCTGAATGACGAGGGTGGCCTCTTGCGCAATTCCCATCCAAGCACCCCTGGCAGTAGAGACAGGGACTGCTAGGGCAGTGGAAGGGTGCAGGTGCCAGGAAGCTCTTGAAGTTGACTTAAGCTTGGCAGCATGGCAATCATTCCAGTGTTAGCATGGAGGCTTGTCACAAGCCTTGTTCAGCAACAGCCAGGCAAACAGGGGCAGGATCAAGTTGAAGGTCAGAACAGACAGAAGTTGGTAATGTGCTGGCAGCAAGGTAAAAGGTCAGGAGGAAGAGACGTAGTCGCAGACATAGATATCCAAGCCGAGGTCAATAACACAAGTGAGCAGCAGGCATAACAGGTAGTGGTGGTCCAAACTGAAAGTCTGATAACCTTGTTCCTGACCTGGCTTCATCTGTCATAACAAGGTTAGCAGACTTTCAAGAACCAGGAACACAGAACCTAGAGCTGAAGACAATCCAGCACTGAAGCCAGGAACTAGAGCGGAAGACAATCCAGCACTGGAGGCAGACTTTCAGTTTGAATGTGTATGTGCACATACTTGCACATATGCGCCAATGATCATCTATGTGCGCATTCTAGTCTTTGCTTGTCTTATTAGGCTTCCGTCCATGATTCCGAACATATGCATACAAATGAGCACCTGCTGCATGGAAACGAACATCTACTGTATGAGATTCCTGACAATAAGATGTATAGTAAACAAACAATAATTTATTGGTATACCTTGTTCATTAACATTTTTTGTAAGATTATCTATTGGAAATAAGTCCTTTATATACAGTATGCATTTGAACAGAAGCACACGTGTTGGTGTGCAAGAAATTAAAAAAAAAACGAAGTAAAGTTGTGTTCTCTAAGTTTACTATTTGTTTTGCTTAGACTGTTGTATGTAATACAAACTGCGTTTTCAAAAAAACATGGTGTTTTTTCCAGTTGTTTGGTTTTTAGACTAATCTTTGTGATGTCTAAAAGATGGTTTTCAGTTCTTTTGTTGAAGAACAAATAAATAAGGCTAGAAACCAGACAACAACCATGTCCTCTAGAATCTTCAATCAAAGATGAACAACAGCAACTATTTCATTTTATCAAGTAAAAGGTTTGCATTCTTCATAAATTCTCAAGGTTAAAGTGGAATTTCACTCTCAATAAACATGAGCTATTTTTAATCATTATGCTGCTAGCATTAGCAAATAGATAGGAAAGTATATTGTATAAACTTTTGTTTTTGCATTTCTTCAGTTATTTCCTGGTTTCCATGCTTAGGCAAATTATGTCATACATCAAAGAAGTCTTCAGAAGGGGAGGAGGGGGTAGCTTGAGCCAAGGGCAGATGAATTCCAAGAAGTAAATGCTACATGACTCATCTGCCCTTACTCAATATGGCCACAGTCAAAAATGCTACATTTTTCAAAGTGATTTCTTAGAAAATTAAAGCATGGAGACATGGGTTGATGGGTGAGTTTGCTTCGAATATTAAAAATGAATTAGAAAGCGTTTTTGGCTTGTGGTGCTTGGATGCAGTGAATTTCCACTTCAAAGTGTATGTAAACCCTAATAAAGAACTTCTTTTATCTGCTTCATTTTGGTTTGGTAAACATGCCTTTGAAAGTGTTTTGGTAAAATTGTTTAATGAGTTCAAAAAATAACTGTTGATCTTGCCAGAAATCCGCTGCACTCTCTGCCTGTGCTAACTGT